AAATATAAAGGCTCCAGTTTGGTATTTATTTATGTCATAAACAGTCAATAATTTCAGCTTATAGAATAAGGGCTTTGTGTGGTCTCTAAATCCAACGTTAGCAATTATTCGTATCATACGTTTTTGTAGTTTAAAATTTTTTTCTAAATTTGTACTATATGTTTTAGCCCAGATAATGTTACAATATTATATATGGTAACACAAGCGTGCAGTATAGTGATCGACGTGCTGTGGCTGAAATTAATGACTTAATTTTATTTATAACACCCATGGATTTTGACATTTTTAGAGAAACGCTATTGATATGTGGCTTCCAATCAAGATTTTCATGAATATGAACACCAAGGAATGTTATAGAACTAACCTGTTCGACGAGTTTGTTATCTATCTTAATATCAGTTGTTTTTGTATAGTACTTGTTTCTAGCACAGAAAATAATACATTTGGTTTTCTTCAGATTTAACGAAAGTTTGTTTGATTTAAACCAGGTGGCTATAACACTGAGCTCTTGGTTTGTAATCTGTATCAGTTTATTAAGGTCTTTCCCTGAAGAAAAGAGACTTGTGTCGTCTGCAAACAGGATTACTTTTAAAAGGGAAGAGCAGTTAGAAATATCATTCACCTATATAAGGAATAATAGAGGTCCAAGTATGGACCCCTGAGGAACTCCGCAAACGATAGTTTTATGCGTTGACAGTATATTATTGAATTTAATGAATTGTTTCCTATTAGAAAGGTAATCTGAGAACCAAAGTAATGGTGTTCCTCTTATCCCATAGTGACTAAGTTTCTCGATAAGAATTTTGTGGTTCACAGTAACAAATGCCTTACTAAAATCAATGAATACACCTACAGAAAATTCTTTTTTATCAATTGAGTTTGAGAGGTTATCAATTAAGTCCAAAACTGCCATAAAGGTTGAATGATTTTTTTCTGAATCCAAACTGATTATCAGAAAGAATGTCGTGTTTAGTAAGATACTTTATGGGTCTTACATAGACAACTCTTTCAAGAATTTTAGAAAAAATTGGGAGTATTGATATGAGACGATAGTTAGAGAATTTTTTGTTGTCATCAGCTTTGAAAATGGGAGGACTTTGGCAACTTTAAGTTGGTCAGGTACTCTGCCCAACTCCATTGATATATTGAAAATGTATGAAAGAATGGATGCAAGTGACTCTGCAGCCTGTTTGATTACAAAAGGATCTAGACAGTCTGGACCTGGTGATTTATTAGGATTAAGATCTCTTATTATAGCAAATATTTCATTATCATCAGTAGAGTAGATTACAAAGGAGTTGGGGTAAGACCCTGTTAAGAACTGAGTGAATTTTGTTTGAGTATATGGAATTTTAGAAGCAAGGTTAGTTCCGACATTTACAAAGTAATCATTAAAGGTATTGGCGATCATTTCAGGATTTGTGATATCGCTATTGTTATGGGTAAATGAATTGGGATAATTGAGCTGAGGTTTAGATTTATTTAATAGTTCTTTCAAAGTTTTCCAGGTAGCTTTAATGCTGGTTTTAACAGATTTGAATTTATGATTACAAAAATGTTTT